AGTTTATTCCAAAAAACACATCAATATAATACTTGTGTAGGCACATAGGACAAATGACAGGTGACAAACATAAAATAATAATATTTAGAAACATTTTGTTTTTTTGTCACAAGTGTTTTCGCCTCATTTGGTCTGAAAGACAAAAAAATACAACAATTATGTTAGTGCTGTGTTTACAATGAAAAATAAAGCAACAATAATAGAACAGATACACAACGCTATCCTGGGTTTTTCAAGCATTTTCTTGCATTCTTTTTTAAACAAATGTATGAAGTTATTGTCTTTAGATGACATAAATCACTCTAAATTCAAGGTTTCGCTCATTTCAGTTTAGCTAAGAATGTACTTTCATTAAATAGTCACATTTTTAAAATAGAAAACTGCTCTGAATGAAATCTAATAAAAATAATGCAGCTGCTCCACAGCAACAAACAAATAAATGACTCTGTTAGAACGGCAGCAAAATGCTACTGATGAAAGATTGTTCACAGAACAATAACCAAAGTTACAAACTACACTGAGGAAGAATCTGTCAGATATAGTTCACAGATCTGTTTCAGTGAGCACTTCACTTTTACAGAGACAATCCATCCCAGCTCACAGAGGCACACACACATGTGCATGGACACACACATGTGCATGGACACACACATGTGCATGAACACACACATGTGCATGGACACACACATGTGCATGAACACACACATGTGCATGGACACACACATGTGCATGGACACACACATGTGTGTGTCCATGTGAACACACACATGTGTGTGTGCATGCATATGTGTGTGTCCATGCACATGTGTGTGTTCATGCACATGTGTGTGTCCATGCACATGTGTGTGTCCATGCACATGTGTGTGCATGTGTGTCCATGCACATGTGTGTGTTCATGCACATGTGTGTGTTCATGCACGTGTGTGTCCATGCACATGTGTGTGTCCATGCACATGTGTGTGTTCATGCACATGTGTGTGTTCATGCACATGTGTGTGTCCATGCACATGTGTGTGTTCATGCACATGTGTGTGTTCATGCACATGTGTGTGTCCATGCACACGTGTGTGTCCATGCATGTGTGTGTCCAAGCACATGTGTGTGTTCATGCACATGTGTGTGTTCATGCACATGTGTCTGTCCATGCACATGTGTGTGTCCATGCACATGTGTGTGTTCATGCACATGTGTGTGTTCATGCACACGTGTGCGTCCATGCACATGTGTGATTTTAAGCACACGTGTGTGTTCTTGCACATGTATGTGTTCATGCACATGTGCATGAACACACACATGTGCATGGACACACACATGTGCATAAACACACACATGTGCAAGAACACACACATGTGCATGAACACATACATGTGCAAGAACACACACGTGTGCTTAAAATCACACATGTGCATGGACACACACGTGTGCATGAACACACACATGTGCATGAACACACACATGTGCATGAACACACACATGTGCATGAACAGACACATGTGCATGAACACACACATGTGCATGAACACACACATGTGCTTGGACACACACATGCATGGACACACACGTGTGCATGGACACACACATGTGCATGAACACACACATGTGCATGAACACACACATGTGCATGGACACACACATGTGCATGAACACACACATGTGCATGAACACACACATGTGCATGGACACACACATGTGCATGGACACACACGTGCATGAACACACACATGTGCATGAACACACACATGTGCATGGACACACATGCACACACATGTGCATGGACACACACATGTGCATGGACACACACATGTGCATGAACACACACATGTGCATGGACACACACATATGCATGCACACACACATGTGCATGAACACACACATATGCATGGACACACACATGTGCATGGACACACACATGTGCATGGACACACACATGTGCATGAACACACACATGTGCATGGACACACACATATGCATGCACACACACATGTGCATGAACACACACATATGCATGAACACACACATGTGCAGGCTGACCATGACACGAGACAAGTGACTTTTATGACCAACTTCTCACAGTCCTTGAAGATGAGTGGATCGACCTCTCAGAGCAAACTGCACGTCCCACATCAGATCTGTAGAACATGTGATGTGGGATGGATTGTCTCAGTAAAGAAGTGCTCACAGAAACAGATTCAGACAGATTAGTGAACAGCATCTCTTATATCCTTTTCAAGCCTAACCCTAACCCTATTCTGCTGTCATGTGCACAACACTGACATTTCCCCACAGAGGGACAAATAAAAGATGATCTTGTGTTTTCTTAGAAAAGGTAAAAACAGAGTTTGGTCTTGTTTGATGAAAAAACAAAGCAGTGTTTATGTTTCTGTTCAGTGTGTGTAAAGTTGGACTGTGCGCCTGGTACTTACAGTTAATCCTCATTATATTTACCTTGACGGCTGTGGTGGCGACACTGAAGAGCAGAGTGATGAGGAAGAGGAGGATGAAGGCCATGGCTGTTTTCTGCATACTGTCCTCCTCCTGCAGCTGCTCAGGGTTCCATCTGTGATACATTTCTATCATGTCCACTACGTAGTCTGGGTCTGGGGACAAACGTGAAATTCATTCTTTTTTTAATACATAAACACATATACATTTGCAAAATTCAAGCAAAATGGGAAAATGACATATTTAATAAATAACTGCAGTGAATAAACCCCATGATGCAACACTGACATTTACCAAATGTGAAACAAATACAGGATTTATTAAATGAAATGAAATCAAATTAAAATTCATCTTGGAGGCCGAGTGTGAACATCCTTATTCCCAAAGCCAACTTATTCCCAAAGCCGGGAACTGAAGAAATCCTGGTTCCAAAGTTCTGGTTTGAACGAGTAATAAAGTGATGGTATCTGTCCGAGCTGTAACTTTTATAAATCATAACTCAACCTTTTTCACAAGTTTAATTTGAGAACTATGGACCCCTTTGACACGAAGACACAGTGGTATTTATCTCATATACTGTAAGTGTTTATGGTTTATTAGATTCACATTCAGTTAGCCAAACCCTCCATTATCACCAAGTCATGAGTTCATAAAGTTCTTTTAGTTTAAAAAAGAAAGAAAAAGAATATTGTAACTTTACTTTATTCCAGATATATTTTATTATATTTTTCCTACAATTATATATTCATTTTCTAATATTGAATTATTCTAATATTATTCAATTCTATATTTCACCTTTCCTCTTTACGGGACAAATAAGGTGTTTCTATATGTTTTAAATAACAGCCCTGATAAGATCCAACAGAGCAAACAGACAGAATGGATTAATAAAACCTATTCATCTCATCTTTATTAGATTCACTTTACCAAAATGAAAGTGTATTTATTTTATTTTATATATTTTGTTTTAAATGTTTGCTTTAATTTTAGTAGATTAGATTAGATTCAACTTTATTGTCATTCCAAAGTCAGAACAATGCGACGAAATGCAGTTTAGCGTCTAACCAGTGCAATAGCCCAAGTATAGGACAATATTTACAACACAGATAAATATATTTGCATAAATGAGAGACAGTACAAGCTATAAGTACATTAATTATAATTAGTTTATTACACAGCTCCTCACAGCAGCAGTAGAACGCTCCATTGATTTGAAAGTCATTTCAAAACGTTCTACCGCTCATTATTTCTTGATAACGGACCTCTCAAAACAATAATGACCGCTGCCCTTTGGCAACGCACCCTCTGCTTGTAATTCAGATGTGGAGATTACTCCGCAAGTAGTTCCGGGCCACTTGGTCGCTACTACTGTCTCTGCAGAGAAGCTAACGGAGCTAGCCACGCTCAATAGACACGTATAACAATCAATCAACACATTTAAATGTTAATCGGAGAATACATTATACATATACATTCTTAACACACGTGCACGGAGGTTTTCAGAATTATCTGTTAACGTTTTCATGACAAAAATACTGTTTTAATGTGACAAAAAGCGATAGCGGTAAACCCAGAAGTAACCATTAACATGAATTAAACATTTTAAGACACATTTGCAGAGGATCGAATTATGGATTTAGGTTAAGTTTATATTTGGGTCACTCACCGCTGATGTTCAGAATTCTTTGTTCTGTTTTCATGTAGAGTTCTAGTTTGGAAGTTGCTAGCCTAACTGTTACTAGCCTAACTGTTACTAGCCTAACTGTTACTAGCCTAACTGTTACTAGCCTAACTGTTACTAGCCTAACTGTCACTAGCCTAACTGTTACTAGCCTAACTGTTGCTAGCCTAACTGTTACTAGCCTAACTGTTACTAGCCTAACTGTTACTAGCCTAACTGTTGCTAGCCTAACTGTTTCTCGCCTGCCACGACACGGCAAAACCTTTGGGAACTATTTTATTTTCTGTCATTAAATAAACCTTTCAGCATTCCTAAAAGTGGACCTAAGTTTATTTTGTGAGTTCTGTTGGTTCAAAGCCGTATAATAAGCGGGATAATGTATAGTACGCAGGTCATTATCGGAAAATAAGTACCTTCAGGGCGGAAGCAGAACCCTCCTTACATATTAGTAATGTTGGAATAACTTTATTCCAAATAGATGTTATTACTCGTGTTACTTCATGTTATGTTTCTGCAATTTCATCACATTTATTCAACGTTGCACTTTGCATTTCTAGACTGACATTTCTTCATTGTGAGACATATAAAGTTTCTCTACGTTATATTGGAATAACACCCTGGTACAGTGCAAGATCCAGTAGAGCAAACAGACAGTACACAGGGACACAAGCAAACAGAATGGACTTTTATGGAAAAATAATAATAATAAATATGTGTATAGTATTTTAGTATTCAGTATTGTATCTGTCAGCATGCAAAACAAGACATGACATCACCAAAGAGGACATAAGACATCAACACATAATACTTGCTGATGATTTTTATTGATTGAATATATAATGAGGCACAGACAAAGACACAACACAGAGACACAGGTCTACTGGGCCTTGCACCGGTCCGAGATCCGCATGTTGAGGTTGACCATGGTTGTCTGCTGCGGAGAGTTCTGCGTGATGGACCTGACGTAGCTTTTGTTTTGCTCTACGGACTCGTGGTGAACCAGGCAACTGTACGCCCGCTCTGGGACGTCCCACTCGCTCAGGGGCACGCTCAGGCGGCTGTAGGCCTCGAAGGGCGATTTGCTTCCATGCTGCCGGTGGTTCTGAAGTCGTGTGTGGCGTCCTTATCGTCAATCAGCCACGACACGTAGAGTTCTTTTGGGTAGAAATCTTTTATGTAGCAGGTTAGAGTCACAACGCCCTCCCTAGTTTGTTTTAAAGGGGGCAGCATGAATATGGAGGGAGGTTTCAGAGACTTGACCACTGTGGAGATCAAGTACAATTCAAGCTTAGAATGATTAGGGAAGGTTCGGGTTAAAGGAGACATTATCACAAATCACCGTTTTCTCCAGTTAAACATGTCACAACATTGACCTGGTGTGGTTTTTAGATCCATCCACACTCGCCAATTTATGGCACAAACATGTTTTCCCCGATATTACTATATATTTCAGATTTATATTTATGGATGGATGGGTGGATACTTTATATTTCCCCTTTTTATGCTTTACTTTTATCTTATGTTCATTTTTGTCCCAAACTTTTGATTATTTATTTGTTAATTTCATTATTTTTACTATTCTGTCTATTCAATTACATGTATTTTTGTATAGGCTCAAATCTCAACGTCAGTCGTCTCGGAGGACATGGTAAAGTTGTCGATTTGCCAACGACGAAAACAGTCGGTACACAGGAAATTCAATAATAACAAACACAGAGGAGCCGTAGATCCATCAGAGCGGGAGGACAAATGTGCATAAATCAGTTTTGACAATGTCTCAGCTCAAATTATGTCTGACTTTGCTGCCAGTAATTTTAAACTAGGGAAAAAAACGTATTCTCCTTCTTTTGGTAGCATAAGGAGTTAAAGGCAGAAAGGTTTTTTTTCTTTCTTAAATCCTTCATACTTGTTTCACGTTCATCATTTCATCATTTAAAATACTTGTTAGTTTAAAGAATAACATCTAAATTGTTTCAAGATTGATTTTTGATTATTTTCATGAATATAAAATGTTGGTATGATTGGACCAGTTTGTGGGTTGGCATGGCAACAAGGTGAAAGACGCAAATAATAAGTTTTTGATCAGGATGTTCATCATAAATGTTGTGAAAAATACAGACCATTTTCATGAAACATATTCTTTCCTTAAACACATGTTGCTGCAGATTAAACTCCAGCCTTAGTTGACTTTGTTGGCTGTTGTGATAATCTTTTGTGATGCATATAATATTGAGTGAGATATTTTTACAAAGCAAACTCAATCATTTTTGAAACTAATAATACTAATAATAACTCATCAAACTTTTATAGTGCTTTTAGACTCAAAGACAATGCAACTGTAGAACACAAACTCACCATCCTTCCTCTCATAGACTCTTTTGAGTGGCTCGAGCAGCTCGCCGTGGTCCAGCAGACAGGTGCGCCGGACGCCACTGTTCCACTCTTCAAACGTGATATCCAGAGGGAGAATGATGCGTTTTCCATTGATTTGGGCCCCGGGGTCAGTGGGGGTCATCAGCACACCCATCTTCTCATCCCTCCAGGACAGATTGACCTCTCTGCTCACTAAGCTGGCCTTTGGGAACGTCACTTCACACCGGACCTCCCCATTGCGCTTAAGCAACAAGTCTTCCCAAGAGGGCGGGATGATTTTCATGTCAAAACCTTCCTGCGTGCCTGAAACGGAGAGGAAACAATAATGTGTTAAAGCTGGAGTAAAGTTTCATTTATGACATTTGAATTCCTAAATAATAGTCTTGTGTAGAAAACATTTTGTGAACAAACCACCACAGGCTATCTGTGTTTCAGAAGTTCACATGTGATTGTTTACATTGAGAGCTGATTGGCTGAGTGAAGGTGGTCCTCTCTTTATCACTTTTCTATCTAAAAAAACCTGAACTTAAGATGTGGCATGAGCCAAACACACAGTGAAAACAAGAGCCACACTTTTTTAGAGCGAAGGACAAGCCACATGGATTTATTACATGGTTATTTTTGTGTTCTTTCAAATGTAGGTTCTCCAACTCTTACTCTCCTGGTGAACAATAAACACACAATATGGACCAGTTACATGAACAGTCGTTGAGTTGTCGAGTAAATGAATGATGTTGAACATTCTGTTTTCCATTCAACAGAACATTCAAACTCACGCTGTTGATAAAGTGTTCTGGAGATTGTTTTGTTCTGTGTTTCGTATGTGCCTCTTATTGTTTAAACTCTTTTGTGTGTGTTTGCCATGTTGACAGTTTGCTGTATGACGAGGGTTTCTAGATTTTTGCATAATTCTCTTTTTAAAAGACTCTTGTTGGGGTCGTTCATGGGGTCCATGTTTCCTACTTCAAATATTATTAGTAGCACCTGTGAAACAAAAATGCAATTCTCGCATTCTTTTTGTCCCCAATGTATTTCAAGATGGTGCATTGAATTCTAAGCCAATGAAAACAATTCAAAAACATGGTGGATGTAAATATTCTTAGAAAGGTCACATTTGTTATTCGTTAACATGTTTTTTTTCCTTTGGAGCAACTGTAAAAATAAGACAGTAAAATGACTGTCATGTACTTTTCAAACTGAGAGAGTGAGACCTGCCCACGCTCGCCCCCACAGCCTCCAGATTGGCACAAATCATTTACAATTCTTGAGGCCTCTCGTCATTGGTTTAACTGTTTTCCTCCCGCAAATCTTGATGGTGGTAGTTATGCTACTGAGGGTCTGTTATATTACTGTTGAAAAATACTTCAATACTGCTCATGATAATACAGCGTCAGTAAAACACATTATTTTGAAATTGAAACACACTTAAAAGTTACGGACATCACCTTTAAAGCAAGTCCAATTCCCTCAAACCTTTGCTTTACACCTTACATTTTAAAACTCAACAAATGAAATGAAATATCCACAAGTACTGTTAAATATGATAATGAATGAATGATTGTAGTAATATATACACTTGTACTGTTGTTGTACTTACTGCACTTTCTGGTCCTGTACTCCAGCACGGACTCCACCTGCTGCTTCTTGGCCCCTCGCTGGAGGCTGAACTCGCACGTCATCCTCGTATCGTCGACCAGGGTCTCCTTGGGCAGCGTCAGGAAACTCGCGGCTGAAAACCTGGTCCCGTCGTCGGAGCTCACGGCCGTGGAGGGTGTGGTGAACTCCAGGCTCGCGTTTTTTACCACTTTTCCATTTTTCAGCCATTTAAACTCAAAGATGTTGGGGACAAAATCGTTTGCCAGACAGGAGAAGGTGACTTGATTGCTTTCTTCCATTGACATTATTTTAAGGCTCGGCAATTGAATGGTTTCATCTGAAAGATAAAGGGGAATACGTGCACACAAAGGATAATTATATAAACAGAAGGGAGTTACTATTAGAAGAAGAAGAAGGTCTTAATGGGGAAACTTCAGTTTGATGCATACACACATACACACATACACACACACACACATACACACACATACACACATACACACATACACACATACACATACACACATACACATACACATATACACACATACATATATACACATATACAAACATACACATACACATACATACACATCAAAGCAAGCAGCAAACATCATTTCCGCGCTCCTTTTAGGCAAAGTGGGTTGAGTGTCTTGCCCAAGGACACAACGACAGCAGGCAATTCATTCCCAGAAACATTCTGAGTTAAAGCGTTATTGTAAAGGATTGAAATCTAATGATATACTGTTAGGCCTGTCGCGATAGTCAATAAATCAATTAATCGCACGATAAATAAAATTTGCTCAATAACTTTTCTGGCCGCGATAAATCCCATTTGCATGCTTGTTTGTTTTCCCCGTCTCTCTCGGGTCAGAGAGCCGCAAAGTGGCCACGGGAACATTAGCGGTCTAGCAAGCAGACGGAAATTACTCAAAAATACAAAATACAGCCAAAACAGGACCTAAACCAGGACTTAACCAGGATTGACAATGGGGGACACAGTAGTTGTGAACATATGCCGGCAGCTGAGTTCTCATTCAGGCTTGATTAGTGACTATACTAGCGCAGCTAGCGTTAGCGTGTTTGCCGATGCAGAAGTACCGTCCCATACCAATAAAATAAACTTATGGCGCACCTCCGTGAACACATACTGCTGTTATATAAAGTCTCTAGAAGGTCTCTGAACACAGAGATGCTGCAGACTTGCATTCTTGGAGTAGAACTTTACACAAAAAACCCGCTAGCTTAGCTGTTAGCATCAAAGCCCGCCCCGCTACTTCCGGTGGGCGCTACCGCAGCAGGACTTCTGTACGCCCCATTGGTGAACCCACATGTCAGTCACTTGTCATTCGCCTGGTGGTGTGTGGGGAGGTGGGACTACTCCTGAGAGATCCTGTCTTAAGCCACACAAAGTCAACATGTTGGTATTTCTTTCTTGTAATCTGTCATAAAGTCTGAGAAATTATTGACATTTGAGGCATCTGTTTCATAGTTTCTTTACAAAGGTCCTGGCAGTTTTATTCCTGGTCATTTTTTGTTAAGAGACTGAGTCTGTTATTTATTGTTTTTGGTTGTTTGTTAATTTATTGTGTTCTAGCGTTAAATATTCGTTAAAAATAAAAGTTTATTCTCTTTGAAAAGGTGTACCTGCATTATCATTCTAATCGATGCAAATGATCTCAGAACGACAATATAATCGCTTATCGCAATAATTTCTGAGACAATTAATCGTCCAGCAAAATTTGTTATCGTGACAGGCCTATATACTGTGACACTTATTTACTTCATTGTAGCCATGACAGCAGCAGTACATTTTTAGTATTTTTTATTATTTGTGACAATTACAGGATTGTGTTAACTTTACCAAGGTTTTTGAAATATATATATTTTAGCTCCCTCTGTTACATTCATATTTTAATTATTTATGTATTTTTCACAATTTAGTTTAGATCAACATCTGAATAAAGTTTGTTTTGAATGTTTTGTGTTTTTCTAGACATTTCATAAATTTAAGAAATAAAGGGTTGTGACGAATTGATAAAGTTAAGAAACAATAAGCAACTTTTTCCACATAACTCTGTCCTGTTGGATTCAATTGATAAAGTCAATCCAATGTTACACTTGTTCATCAACTCAAAAACTCACTTGTGTCCAATTAAGAACAGATATGGTTTTTTTATCACGTTACCAACAGCACACATTTTTCCACCTAGCGGAGGTTACTGTTGTACTGTATCTAGGTTTTATAGTTATAAAAACAAAACAGGAAGTCTTTTGTGACTTAACAGTGGTTACTCTTGTCTATTCAGCTGTTATGGTCCCAGCTGGATTCGTCTGCATATCTGGCAACCTGAGTCAGGGAGAGTGGGAGAGGCCGCAGTACCACTTTTGGCCAGATGTTGACATACTTCTCCTTTAACTTTATCAATGAAATCCAACAGTTTATTTCTTAGACTCTAGGCCTTTCCTTCGACACATTTCATCCCAATTAAACCGTTCTCCTCATTCCAAGAAGACTTACCTGCTTTGATAAAGTCCACTTCCTTGGAGCCGCCCTCGTGCTCCACTCTGCACTTGAAGGAGTGGCGCAGGTCCCAGTCCTGGCGCCGGACCCGGACCTGACTGACCCCGGAGTACAGCTTGTTCTTCAGCACAGCCGGATACTGCAGCGAGTCACTGAGCGCGCCGCCGTTCTGCGTCCAGGAGAAAGACACAGCGGCGGGACGGAAGCCGGTGGCCAGGCACGTCAGCGTCACCGTGTCTCCAGATTCAGAAGTGCAGGGTCTGACCGGGAAGACCGAGGGGGCCGTGGGGGGGTCTGCAGCCACAGGACACAAGTGACAATAACAAAAAAAATCAACACAAATATGGACAATGATCTGGTTCCCCCTAATCATTAATGTTTTCATCACTTCTTTTGTTTTGTGGTTTTTAAAGAATCAGTATTGCATTTTTAATATAAACTATACATTGAATATGTTGGGAGAAGTACAGTTCCTATGAAAACATTAAAAAGGAGAGTAGCACTGTTTCTGCTTTTAAGCTCAATCAACAACAGAACAATAAAAATAAATCCCATTATAGTGTAATATGGCCACAGCTCGGAGAGAAGAAAAAATAAATAAAATAAAACGCTACCAAAAGTGACAGAAAATTGGGAACATTTTAACTGTAATAAAACAATATTTTCCGATGGGACAAAACGTTTCGTCTCGTTTCAAGTGTGGTTCCATTTCTTCCTTATTACCGGGGAGAATTAGTTTTCCTCTACTGGCTTTTTTGCTTTTCCCATTGGCAAATTTTGAGTCAAATGAAGACACATTTTGCCGATTTCAAGCAATTTGAACTTACTTTTTGTCGCTTTTGGCATAGTACAATTCCAAAATGAAATAGACAATAAAATGGATTTTGGACAATTACAATCCATGTCTTAGAAAAGCTACGAGAGTCTATGGTATCAACTTGAATTGAACTTAGAAGTGTTCATTTAAAAGTCTGCTTGATTCTAGTTTTTGCGACCAACTCCTGTTTATTTTAACTACAAAGTATTGCGCGCAAAAATAAATGAAAGTCCAAAGTTTACTAAGAATATTCTATAGTGAGCCAACTATATGCCCAGCAGTATATTGAGCAACTACCAATATTTCTTTCAACACTAGTCTGCTGATGTGTCAAACTCTTCCATATCATATTTTTTAGATAAATTAGGTTTTTCATATTCATACAAAAAATACACACATTATTGCTTTTTCAAATATGTGCTTTTAAACGTCAGAAATACTGTCATTTACACAATCTTTTAAGAGCATTTTGTTTCTCCAGCCTATTTTGGACAGATAATATTCACGCAAATATAGATGTATTTAGAGCTATTTGTTCATTATATTCTAACTTTTAACTAAGAAACACTTGAAACCTTTGAGCAGTACAATGGAAAACAACGGTCTAACCTTTTGACGCAATGAAATGTTTCCATATATATAAAAAAACACACATTTAATTTAACTAATAAACACATTAAAAGCATCACTATTGAAAAATCAGGGCACAATAGGATCGACAAACCTGATGTGACGGTGACAGCGGTGCCTTTTCCCCAAAAGTCAAAAATACCAGAGTCACAGTTTACAAAGTCAGTGATCGCCTCCAACAAAAAACAATTTTGATTTCTTTTCTTGGTTCAAAGTAATTTAAATTGTTTGTTGCTTAGTACGAACAAAAGGTGAATTATTTGTGTTTTAAATAGTTTGACTTACCAGATGCAACAGTGACCATGGTTCCTTTTCCCCAGTCATAAAAAAAACCATAATCACAGTGCATGGTTCTGTCCTTCACGTCGTACCAAAACCAGTCTATTCTTTATTCATTGTCAAACCATAAAATTAAATAGATTTCTGTAAAATATAAA